ATAATTATGGGCATTAGAATTTACATATGCAAGTTAATCAACAAATTTAAGATTATTTTATTTTTACAATTTGTCCTGGGCTTCCTTCTTTTACTCTGTGAATTAAACCATTGGCACAAATTTATTTCCTTGATTTGATGTGTAAAATTGGATCATGAAGACAGAGCTCTTGTTTCTCACCTTATAGTTTTCTCAATAACTGGAGAACTTCTTAAATGTATATGTTATCATATACATTTTGGTTTGATCATACCTACCCCTGCTTCTAAACTCTTTATGGATCACTCAAGACACACCACCCCAACATCATGTCCTTCAAAAAAGCAGATTTGATTTAAATTTTTGTGCTTCAGTTGGCCAAGAGAAAGAAGCCAGAGAAAAATGAGACAATTGGGAAGACTGTTTCAATACTTATGTTCATGAGGATGGTTGCTCAGGGGATGACAGAATATGTCCCTGACACGATTTTCCCTCAGACTCTTTTTCCTCCTTTACATTTGCTATGTGATCAAAAGTTTGTTCATTTCTGGAGAAAACGTGTGGTTAAATGTGTTTAATAGAATTAAATGTTACTTAGAGACCACTTACCTGTCTGAACCCAGTTACTGCCCTCTGCACAGTTCAAACCTTCTGATTAAAGGAAGTAATTGATGAGGACAATTTATAGATGAGCACCACAACATCTGTTCATTAAAGCTAAAGTAAGTACATATTTGGATTGTTGGAGTCTAAGGTTGTAGTGTTTGAAGGTGGCTAAAGGATCTATATTCATTTGAACCCTATGCCACGGCCTGGAACTTTTACTACTTTCTCAAAGTAAGGATCATTCCTGTTCTCTTGGCTTTCTCTTCTTATACTTTCTTGGACAGAAATACTGTGTTCTTTTGATGTCTGTCATTTGTTGCTACTGGGTGCTCATTTTTCCAAGGATGTGGTATAGTAAATCATGACAGGAAGCTTGATAGGTAGAGTGGATTGAGACCCCAGAAACTCACACTTGAAACTGTAGGCACCTCCCTGTTCCCTCTCAAATTCCTGGCCTGAAATATATGTCACACTTCCCATAAAAGGTAACATGACCTGTGGTCATGTAGGCCCAGAACAGAGTTCTCCATGCTAATGAGGTCCTAGAGGCACTGAAGGTTTAGCCAATAAACTTCCCTTCCCAGACATTCCTCCCTGCAATAGATATTTAATCTCAGGTCAACTCTGAGAAGTTTGTATGGTAAGCATCCCTTTGCCATGATGAACAATCAGTAAACAATTTGAAATCAAGGACTGTCTCTTTCATTGAGAACCACCGTGTGGAGAATGAAGGAGGCCTTTTTCTACAGAACCACTGCCTAAAGCTCCCGTGGAAGGCTCATATGCACTCCCAGCTCTAATTGCTGCCAAGCTAAGAACTTCACCAATGAGCAAAGCCAGAGCTACCATTACACCCAGCCCCAGGCTAGACACCATCCCCAGCCTGTGGCATAGACTCTACTTTCAACTACTCATGACTCAGAGATACCTGAATATCTCAGAGGCTCCTCAGTGTCCAGGAGTTTGGGAGCCCCAGGTTGCAGCTTCCTTGTGGGTCCATGGACACCAGCCAGTTCATTCCTGACTTCTCTGTGTGGTTTTCAATCAGCAACTAGACGCCTGTGAATTTGGGAATACCAGCTTCAGCTTTCTCATATCTTAGACTGCTCTTTCCCACTCCCCAGAGGAGTGTTTGGTGCTTCCCTGAAGCCCAGCACCTGCCCAGTGGCAGTCTGGGATAAGTGCAGTCAAGTTCCCCTGGGAATCTATGCCTTATAACTTCATTGCACCTGAAAATCCATTGCTCAATCCCCATTTATCATTATAAACCAACAACTCGGATTCTTGATAGCAAGATTCTGCTTGGAACTTTGAAAGCCACTAGAAACCTAAAACCTCACTCAACAGTCTCTTCTAATATATTTCTATTATTTCCACTTCTACAACCTCTGCCTCTAATTTTTTGCAATCTCCTATGTTTCTTAAACTCCTCTTCTCTTCTCTTCTCTTCTCTTCTCTTCTCTTCTCTTCTCTCTCTCTTTTCCTTCTTCTTTTCTTTCTTTGTTTATTTATTGGTATTAAATCAAAGAACTCCCTTACTCAGTGACACTGCTAGACAGTATTTAACACCTACATATGTCCTCCCTTCAAACATCTACTATATTCATCTCTCTTTCTGCTCTGCCCTAGATTTCTCTAACTTTTCAGTCTCTTGAACTTCATCATAGGTGTGTATGACACAAGAACCCCTATCATTGAGAAACTGAGTCCTAAACACATCACCTGGAATAAAGAATGCTTTGATTATTATTATGGTTGATCTTAATGTCCACTTGCCATAAATATATGAAAATGTTTCAGTAGAGAGCATCCACAAACTAAATGTCCTGCCATGAAAGACCCTCCCCAATTGTGTCAACACCCTAAGTAATGCAGATAAAGTGGTGAGGAAGAAGGAAAATCATTCCTTCATTTGTTCTCTTGGCACTCAGGTAATTTGCCATCTTGTTGCTACTGTTGATCCCTTCCTTGATATCAGAACCAGTGTTTCTAGGCTTTCATTGTAGAGAGGGGCCAGTGACTCTTCAGGGAACTTCCAGGCTTCTACTGCCAGATTGGGACTGCTTGGGCATTCATCCTTGTGGTCTGTCCAACAAAGATTGTCACATTGCCTGCTCAGACAGGTGTTGTAGGGCTACATTGATTGTGCAGTCCCAAAGACATTGTAACTACTGCGTTCCTCAGGTGTAATTCTATTGAAACTTACTCAATATATTCACATGGATACACACGTACACATGCTCATGTACACACACACATGAATATTAAGAGCTTAAAATTTAGTTCACAGTAGCAATAACATTATGTGTAAAAGCAAAATAAAGTCTTTTTTTGAATTTCAAATTTTATTTGAAAGCAACTTAAATTTTAGACAAATGATTTTAGTATATAAATTTGATTTTGTTTTTATACAGAATATAAAGATTTCCCTCATTAATCTTTCATGGGAAGGGCATTACAGGCCCGAAGGAAGACAAGTTCTGCACACAAAGTTCACCTCATCTGTGTGGCACTGAGACAAATGGTGCCATAGTGGTGCTCCTGCGCATAAATTAGGCCCAAGTGGTGGCGTCACACATCAAGCGGTGGGGGAGCAATACTCTACCTGGTAAGTCAGATCCAAGAAGCAAACATGACACAGGAACTGTAAGTGAGAGCAAGTCGACAGCTTTAGTCAGGACACTGCAGGTTCTACAGGGCTGGGAGGCTACAGTGTGCGCACGGACACAGCAGGAAGAGCTACTTAGAAAGAAGGCTGGAGCCAGGAAGTTTTCACTAAAGCAAATTAACATCTTGTCAACTGCCAAAACAAAGCGAATGAAAGGGAGCTTGTGAGTGTCAGTATACCCAGGGCGTGTTATATCAGCATCCGTGCAGCATGCTAAGTTAGTTACAACTTCTTCATTGGTATGGATGAATCACTGACGGTCTCGGGTTTTGCTTCTACTTGGCAAACTCAGGCATGTCTTATTTTAGATGGAGTATAGCTTTTATCTATAATTTCATCCTGTAAAAACATGTGAAGACAACGTTCATTACGGGCCAGAGGATGACCAGCGACCTTGTTTTTGAACTGTTCCAGCCCTTGCTTACTTTCCTCGATGAAATTGTCATCAAATATTCCATCATCTTCTCTAAAAGGAAGCTGCCGCAAAAATGCTTTCCTGGGGAGTGGGGGAACCACAACCTTGCTCTCTCTCTAGTTCTCTTCTAAGCCACTCAAAGTCACTGTATCTTCTTCTAACAGTAGATTCCTCCAGCTTGAAGATAGAAAGATTTGTCTTGACCCTGATTTCATAGGTGGTGAAGTGGCCAAGGCCCGTCTGTGGGTTACTCAAGTCGTTCTCTAGGAAGTTGCTGAGCATCCAGTAGGCGTCATTCAGGTTCTGCCACTTGGTGATGAGCCATGGGGTGTCCGCTATGGTCTCACCCATCTTGCTATCACCACAGGATTCTCTCCACTGCCTCCTCCTTCCGCCAATGCTGCCTTGGAGACTCCCGGCTCACGCACAGCGAATAGAGGCGAATCGCAAAATTAAATCTTTTTTTAATATATATAATTTATTTTTTTCAAATTGTAATTTATACTCATTCACACAGGGGTTTAAACACAAAAAGGCAGGACATGGGGAAGGGGATGACACTGGAGCATGGGTGTTCAGGGGGAATAGAGATATCTTTCAGAAGAGGGTATCGGCTGGGTGAGGGTTCAGGGGACAGGTCGCTATGGCTCTGCCTGTGCTTTGCTTATCCTTATCTAAGTTGGTATTATCTGCCAAGACTACCTATTTACAAGGTCTATGACTAGTCAGGCTGGTAAATTGTCACAAAAACTCCCTGTTTACAATAGCTTTTAGCCATCTGTTTCAGTGTTTATCCACAGAGACCCAAGACTTGGTGTTAGTATACATGTATGACAGGCCTATTGCTGATCTTAGGCCTATTGCTGATTTTAGGCCTTCAGTGTATAAGCAGGGATGCCCCTGACATCTCCTCCCTTCTCTAAGTGTAGACGGGCTGTGTCAAATCTAATCTTGCGAAGGCAGGGATAGAGGCCTGACCTCCAGTAATTGAAGGGGACCTTGTAGTGGCTCCAGTCACCCTGTCGTTGTCCAGTGAGGTATGAGGGCCATACCCATCCCTATGTCTTTTTCCTGAAGAGGGGATACTTTTGACATCAACCCCTATACAGTCAGGCTTTCCCTCAGGGAACCCAGAGAGATATTTTTAACTTTTATTGGTATTCCCTAAATCTTAAGTGCATTATTCACAACAAAAAGTTTATATTTTATTAAGGAGATGAGTACATTTTCCCTATTTTCTAGTTCTTAACCTAAATGGCTATTCTGCCTCCCTTTAACGCTCAGGTATAATTTTCCAAATTAAAAACTCTAACATTCCCCACACATTCTTGATTCAGTGAAAGTTAAAGTTTTATTGTAATAATGAGAAGTTGTTTAGTGTTTCTTCATCCAAAATTGTATTGCATATGATAAGAAAAAAACTGTGTATTGCAGACTACTCCTTGTAGATGTTTTTCTATATCAGAAAGCACCATAATTTATGATGTTAGTACACAATACAATTGCTAACTAGAACCCAAACTATTTTAATTTTGAAATTTGAAATCATTTCTGAATCTCAATGTAATTAACATTTATATAGTTTATTCATTTTGATCCTTAATAAAGCTTGGTATTTAATGATTAAAATATGGAAGATATTAATATTGATATTAAAGCATGTATACTTCTGAATGAATCTTTTTCTTAATTGTGTTTATTTTATGCTGACATTAGACTTCTATTGTTCATTTATATCCCAGATAAACTTCAAGGGAAAATTTTTCATATTACTCTTGAATATCATGTCAAATCTTTCATTCTGCTCCACAGTCAAATGGTTTTTCCAGTCTCCAATGGTACCTAATAGGATAAGGACAGGGACAGCATAGAGGTAAGTAAATGGAACATTCAAAGCAAAGGTCACTCTTATCAACCTCAGTATATTCTCCTACCCATATAAAATAACTATGACTTCTCTGTGGAGTTTCATACCATACTTTTTTTAATACAAGAATGTTCAGTAAAAGAAACATATGCAATAACACATTAAACATTCTAGCACTTGATTGTCCCATATATCAGCTGACCAATCATAACCAATCTTTATGAAGAAATAAAAACCTTAACAAATATAAGTAAATGAGAACTTTTGAAGTGTATTTTACCATATGTCAAGCATCATGCTAACCACGCATTTTAGCCAATAAAATATAACAGGTCACATGACTGTAGTTACATGTGTTCATGTTTGGGTCTTCTATTTTGTACCATTTGTCTATATGTCTATTTTGTGCAAGTGTCATACTGTTTTTATTATTATATTTCTATAATGTACTTAGAAGTCTGAAATGGAGATCTGTCAATTATTTTATTGTTGGTGATGGTAGTCATGACAACTTTATCCAGATTTTTTAGTAACATATTAATTTTAAAATGCCCTTTTTTACATTTCTGAGAAGAATTTTGTGGGACTTTTTGATTGAAATTACATTAGATCTAAACATTTTTGGTAAGATGGTCATTTCTCTATATTAATTCTACTAGTCCATTAACATAGTCAGTCTTTCTATTTTCAAATATTTTCCATAAAAAGTCCTCACAGATTTAAATGTTTTTCACAAAGTTCTTTCAGTTTCTTAGTTAGGTTCTTTCCAAGATGGCTTATTGCCTTTGGATCTCATATAAATGAGATTATATCCATAATCTCTTTCTCAGCATGATTTTGTTGGTGTTAAATAGAAAAGCTATTGATTTTTTATAAGTTGATTTTGTCTCTTATAACTCTTGAAAATTTTATTAATATAGGCTTTCTTATGGAATTTTTTTATACAATATCATATCATATAAATAGGGATAATGTGACTTCTTTTCCCCCTTTCTATATCTCTTTGATTTTTTTCTCTTGTCTTAGTGCTTTAGCTTGGTCTTCAGGGACTATATTTAAAAACAGTGGGTATAGTTGGCAGCCCAGTGTAATGCTTTATTTTAATAGAATATTTTTAAATGTTTGTCAATTTAGGATATTGGTTTGGATTTGGCACATATACCCTTTATTAAGTTTAAGTATGTTTCCAAGAGTTCTATACATTCTGTATATCTTTTCTCATGAATGCATGTTCAGTTTTGTCACAGAGTTTTCGTGCATCTTTTGGGATAATCATGTGATTTTTCTCTCTAAGTTCATTTATATGACTGATTACATTTATGAACTTACATATGTTGAATCGGCCCTGCATTTCTGTTAAGAAATGGGACTTGTAAGGCAATGGATTTACTTTAGTTTTTACTTCTTGGATTTTCAGGCATGGTTTCTTTGTGTGGCCCTGGCTATCCTAGAACTTGCTTTGTAGAGTAAGCTGGTGTTAAACTCAGAGAAGGGCCTACCAATGCCTCTGGAGTGCTGGGATCAAAAGCATGTCACACCCTGATAAGGAAGAATATGGTTCTTAGAAAAGAACCAATACCACAAGTTTAATACATGAGAATAATCTATACTCAAAATCTAAAGCATACTCATATAACATAGATATGTGTAGCTCTCACCAGTCACCAAAGAAATTTCTCTTACAAACAGGATATTCTCTATAGCAACCAGATTATTATAGAAAACTCTAACAGTCCATAATGCAGAGATCAATGGCTGCTATTTGCTCATGTGTAATGAACATACCTATAACACAACTCTTATATCTAAGACTCAGGGTGCATTGTGAAAGGTGGAACAAAAGTGTTTAAGAGTGATAATTGTGCCTCCTAAAAATAACAGAGAAGCTATAAGAGAAAAAATATTAATGATATTTCAACAGCATAGCTGCTTTTGGAAACACCTGAGCAATTATAATATCAATAAATGTGCTAACAAGAAAAGAAGAAATTTCAAGGGTCCCACCTCTAGATCAAGAACTACAGGCCCGCTTGCCTGCAGTAGAAGACATGGTTCCACCCCTTACCTGGACAGCATGGGAAAGCTGACTCATGTGTTTTGAGTATCAATGAACTGGCCCCATCCCACACAAGATTCAGCTACACTATTTGGTAGAGCAAGCCTGCACCCCACCTGCACAGCACAGTAAAGCTGGCTCTAGTGGCAAGGCTGCTGGTGAGCAAGCAATTCCAAATCTGCCCAGCAGGGGTTGATGCAGGAGAGCTATAACACCTTCTCACACCTGAGTTAGTCACAAGGACATGAGAGCAGAGGAACCCTTGATTGGCTTCAGTACTCAGGACAGCAGGCCTGCACCTCATGGGCAGCATAGGAAACCTGACCCTGGTAGTGGTAGTCAAGGTGAACACCTGAAGATGTGAGTGCACGAGAGCTAGCCCTGCCGTAAACTGGGTTCACCACTTGGGAGGATAAGTTTGTACCTCAGCAGGGCAATATAGTAGAGCTGGTGCTGGTGGTGTGGGTACAGGAGAGGTGGTTGAAGAACCAAGACAGCTTCCTTCCAGGCCCAGATCATGAGCTTTGAGTTAGTCTACGCCAACATCTACCCAATCTACAAACTGCTGTAGAATATAAAGGATCTATTGCTGTAGATCCAGACATATAGAATCTCCATGACATAGAGCAGTAACAGAATATCTGAGAGGAGTCTAGGTGAGAATCGAGTATTGATAATGTACCAGAAGTCAGATTCCTCAAAGCAGACCAAAGACTTACTGCAATGAACATTTGCAAGTAAAGCTGTTTGGACAATAGTGAATACTGTATGAAACACCATGACACACTACAACTTCCATGGAAAGCATTCTGTTCTTCTTTTAACTGATATAAACAGACACAACTGTTAATTGGATTGGAGTGCATGAGGTGAAATTCATAAAAAATCAATAGAACAGATTTTTCAAAAAGGAGGTACAGGCAACTATTAACTGCTGTTAAAAAAAGAATTCACCTCTCCTAATAATGAGCCCCCTAGTTAGTTAAGGAGTACAAAGTAGTTAGCCCACTGCCTGAGCAGACGATCAGGATGTCTGCTTTTCTGAAGACTCCACAGTCTGAAGAGCCTCAGGTAGTCTGCTGCAGCCAGAGCCACAGGTAAGGGACCCTTGCAAATACCGACAGCAGCTAGAAACTTTGAGAAGCCCAGTGGACTCAGGACCCATCTTCACCCCAACCTTCACTGCCTACACAAATACTACCTACTTTCTGGTCTGTGTCTTTCACTTGGGTAGACCATCAGCTTGTCTGTTCTTCTGAAGACCCCACAATCTGAAGATTCCCCAGAAAGCCTGTAAAAGCCAAAGCCATAGGCCTACCAGAAGACCTGCAGCAACCCAGGGACACAGGAGGCAGGCTCCAGACAGAGATTACCAGACTAGCTAACACCAGAAATAACCAGATGGTAATAACCAGATGGTGAGAGGCAAGAACCAGACCACAAACAACAGAAACCAATATATTTTGGCACCATCATAACCCAGGTTTCCCACTACAGCAAGCCCTGGATACACGAACATACCAGAAAACCAGGATGCTGACCTAAAATCCTATCTCATGGAGATAATAACATCCTTTAAGAAGGATATAAATAAGTCATTGAAAGGAATACAGGAAAACACAAGTAAACTGGAAAAAGCCCTCAAAGAGGAAACAAATAAATCACTTAAAGAAATACAGAAATAAATCACTTTAAAAAAGTCAAACAGGGGAAGGAATTGAACAAAGCAGTCCAAGACCTAAAAGTAGAAGTAAAAAAAAAAAAAAAAAAACCACAAACAGAGGCAACCCTGGAAATTGAAAACCTAGGAAAAAGATCAGGAACTAAAGATGCAAGCACCAACAGCAAAATGCAAGAAATAGAAGAGAGAATCTCAGGTGTAGAAGATACCTTAGAAGATATTGACAAAAAATGTCAAAGAAAATTAAAAACAGAAAAAACTCCTAACCAAAAACACCCAGAAAATCCAGGATACAATGAAAAGACCAAACCTAAGAATAATGGAAAGAAAAGTGAGTGAAAATGCACAGCTCAAAGGACCCAAAAACATCTTCAATAAAATTACTGAAGAAAACATCCCCAACCTAATGAAAGAGATGGCCATAAATGTATAAGAAGCCTATGGAACACTAAAAGAAAATATAGAAGCAGAAATGGCAGTCTTCTTGTCACATAATACTCAAAACACCAAATGTACAGAACAAACAAAGAATATTAAAAGCTGTAAGAGAAAAATGCCAAGTAACATATAAAGGCAAACCTATCAGAATTACACCAGACTTCTCAACAGAGACACTAAAAGCCAGAAGAGCCTCAACAGAGGTCATGGAGAATCTAAGAGAACACAAATGCTAACCCAAGCTACTATACCCTGCAAAACTCTCAATCTTCATAGATGGAGAAACCAAGATATTCCAGAACAAAACCAAATTTAAACAATATCTATCTACCAATACAGCCCTATAGAGGATTCTAGAAGGAAAACTCCAATATAAAAAGGATACCTACACCAAAGGAAAAAACAATATATTAATCATCTCATAACAAAAGTAAAAGGAGAGAATCACATAACACATAATGCTACCTATAACAATAAACATAACAGGAGCTAAGAATAATCCGTCTTTAGTATCTCTCAATATCAATGGACTCAATTCCCCAATAAACAGACATAAGATAACAGACTGTATATGCAATCAGGATCCTTGCTGTATACAAGAAACATACCTCAGTGACAAAAACAAGCACTACCTCAGAGTTAAAGGCTGGAAAAAAATCTTTCAAGCAAATGGTCTCAAGAAACAAGTAGAAGTTGAAATCCTAATATACAATAAAATATATTTTCAACCAACAAGAGAAAGTATCTATTCTGAACATCTTATGTCTCAAATTCAAGGACATCCACATTCCTAACAGAAA